GCATGTGGCAGAACTCTTGTTCCACACCTGTGTCGCATATATAGAGCCTGCATGGCATATGGTTTTGTCCCCATGGCCTGGAGGCAAGTTAAGGTGACATTTATCCCAAAGGCCAGGAAACTAGATTACACCGAGATTAAGGCTCATCGTCCTTTCAGCCTGTTGTCTTTCCTTTTGAAAAATAATGGAAAAAGAATGGATAGGCATATCAAGGACAGGGAGCTGAGGATATATCCTCTACACCAAAAAGAGCATGCCTACCAAGCAGGTAAATCTACCGAAACCGCTCTGCACAACGTGGTAACATGAATAGAGGGAGCGATAGAACACAAGGATATTGCCTTACGAGCATTCCTTGATATAGAGAGAGCTTTCGATTGAGCTTCATTTGATATAATAAAACAAGCCTCTGGAAAGCACGGCATAGAGCCTGCAATATGCAGGTGGATCAGTGCTATGCTGGAAAGCAGAACCATAGCTGCTACATTATCAGGAGAGACCCTGTGGGCGTCTGCGTCCAGGGAGTATCCGAAAGAGGCGTGTTCTCGCTCCTGATGTTGGGCCTGACCTTCGACGATATCCTGTGGTGACTTGATGATGATGTATATTATACCGTAGGATAAGCTGATGATATAAACGGAAAAATCCTTTGAGAGTACCAGAACCTCTTCAATCAGCTCTGTACACAGTCCAACGATGGTGTACAGGAACAAGTCTTCCCATCAATCCCAATAAGACTGTAATTATACCGTTTACCAGGAAGATAAATATAAAGGGCCTTAAGGAACCGACCTTTTTCAATAAAATGGTCCAGCTCTCCAGCGATGTCAAGTACCTTGGTCTAATATTAGACAAGGGACTGACATGGGAAAAGCAGATAGACGAGGTCATCAATAAAGCCTATACGACTTTTTGGACATGCAGAAGCATGTTTGGTAAAACTTTGGAACTGCAGCAGCACGTTGTGCATTGGATATTCACTGCGGTTGTAAGACCCATAATTATATATGGCGCCACAGTATTGTGGCCCCGAGTTAGACCCAATATAAGCAAGACAACACTTAGCAAATTACAAAGGTTAGCTTGCTTTGGTATCACAGGTGCAATTCGAGCATCTCTAACAGATAAACTGGAGATACTCCTTGGACTCCCCCCACTGCATCTAGAGTTCGAGGCAGAGGCCAGGACAGGAATCTACCGTCTCCAGTGCAGTGATCAATGTAAAACTAGATTCGATTTTTTCGGACATGCATACATAATTCAGGACATTAAAAATGAACCCATGTTACCAATTGTGTCTGACAAAATAATGCTGAGAAATGTATATGAAAAATCTTTCATAGTCAGATTTCCTGACAGGAGTGAATGGGAAGACGGTTATTGGCCCCATAGAAAAGTGGACTGATCTGGTATACAGATGGTTCCAGGATAAAAAAGGGCAGTGGAGATGGTGTGTACTGCTATGGAACGAGGCGGAAAATTATTTTCCACCTTGGGCAGTACACGACAGTATTCCAGGCAGAAGTATATGCCATTAAGGCATGTATTAAGGAGAATCTAGATAGGAACTATAGAAATAGGAACATCTACATTCTGTCTGACAGCCAAGCTGCACTTGAAGCGCTTGAAAAGCACTAGATAAACTCAAAATTGGTCTGGGATTTCCACCAAACCCTCATGGAACTGGCCAAACATAACAGGGTACAGCTGATATGGGTGCCGGGGCATTTGTATATTGATGGAAACGAAACAGCACATCAATTAGCTAAGACTGGAGCTGAACATCCGTTCACACCACCTGAACCAGCCTCTGGCATCTCTAGAGGAGTTGTAAGAAAGGCAATCAGGGACTGGACAAATATGAAGCACAAGAAATACTGGGGATCCTTGACTGGACTCAGGCAAGCAAAGGGACTCATAGGAGGACCCTCTGCTAAAAGAGCAAAGGAACTGCGGGAGTTTAACAGAAACGATCTACAATAGCTGGTTGGACTACATACAGGAGACTGCCACCTTAAAGTACACCTCTTCGAACTGGGATTAAGTGATAGTCCCACTTGTGAGAGGTGCCAAGAAGAAAATGAAACAGCCACAGATATCCTGTGTGAATGTGAGTCCTTGGCTTATTTAAGATTACATCTCTTGGGTCAATATTTTATGTAACCAAGTGACTATTTCGACGCCCCCACATACGAAATCCTACGATTCATTCGAAGCGGATGGTTGCTTTGTGGATAATCAAAAGGGGAAGCACAATAGATCACTGTAGGTCACGGCGCAAGGACGAGAAGGCCCACTCCTCATATATTCATTCATTCATTAATCTTGAAAGAATGATGTTGGATACAGTTTTGAGCGAAGTTGACAGCAGTGATATTACACAATAATTACCATAGTCGGTTTTTATTGCCCTTCTTGTGAATACGTAGAGTAATGTATTACTTATTCTGAACAAGCAAACCTTCCTTACTGAAAACATAATTAATGAGTTTATTTCACCTCCTCCTTTAATTAATTCTGTCGGAATGTATTCACTACCTTTTCAATTCTGCAATAACAATTTCAACCTGAAAAGGACAATGATCAAGTTCTAACTGCTCAGCTGTATGTGTTTCTATCTGCCTAAAATCACTGGCCCTAGGTACATTCAATAACTGAGAGAAATAGTTCTTCCACCTACTCAAATACTGTGGGTATCTGCAAGCAGATTCTAATCCTTCACTAAGTTACTGCTAGATTTGTAACCCCTCTTAAACTCATTTATTTCTCTATACAGCCTCTAATGTTCTCGTTCTTACTGTTTGTTGCAAACTTGTCAATTTTGATTTTGAGATATTCCCCTTTTTGTTCCTGATATGCCTGCTGGTTTCGTATTTTATATTGTTCAGGTTATCCTTATTTATTTCGCTTGGATCCTGTAACCAATGCAGTTTGTGTTCTTTCCTTTGGTCTAACAAGTCTGAGCAGCTTTCATCTAACCATGACTTTAGCTTTTTCAGTTTATAATAGCCTGAACTCTGAAGAATGACATCTTCTGCGATGTGGCTCAGTGTAGATATTGTGTGAATCAATGTTTCGGAGGAACATATCGCCTCCATCTTCACCCTGGTTTCTCGCTCGCGGATTTTTCTACCCTAAAAATAGAAGTGATATGTTCCCTCGAAATGTCGGTTCACACAAGAACTACATCCCAGAAGACGACATGCTTCATTGTCACCACCATGAAAACCTCAGATCTACCCAAGACTGTCTTTGGCATAAATTTAGATATTCTCCCTAATAATTTTCCAAGATATATCGAAATACACCTCAGTGTCTAATTTTTCCAAAGCTGCGAATCCATTTGAAATTTCAACATGATATCACTCTATACTCCATGCCTTCTTTAATTTAATGAGATTTAACTTCTTCATATGAATTCTGTGTACTGTTTGTTTATTCACTGTCAGTTTCTCCCTAAATTTTGCCACCACCAGGTAGTGGTCAGTATCACAATCTGCTGCCCTGAATAATCGGACATCAAGTATACTTGAATATCGTTTTCTATCTGTCAAAATATGGCCTATTTTGGTTTTGCATCTTACCATCAGGAGACATTCAAATAAATTTATGAATGTTACGATTTTGAAACATCGTACTTTTGACAGTAAGATTTTTGAATGTGGCAAATTTACTACTCTAACTTCATTATCATTACTAATTTCGTGTAAATTCTCATTCTGAATTGTTTCGTTTTGAAAATGTTTTCCCTACCTACTTTGGCATTGAAATCTCATAACAAAAATTTTCATATGATATTTAGTGTACTTATCGAATAGGCGTCCCAGATTTTCATAAAAGCTGTCCTTCAAGTCATCAATTTTATCCTCTGTTAGGGCATGAACATTCAGAACGAAAATATCACGCCAACCACCTGTTAATATTAAGAACGACATCCTATGACTAACAAACTCTGTCCTCTTAACTGCTGCTTTGATTCTTTTATGAACGTAAAAACCTGTATATATTTCATGATACTTATTCTCATGTCCTTAGAAAAATGTGTGTTTGCCTCCTGGTTCGGTGCCACCTTCGTCCCATCTGACATCCTGCACTCCTACTAAATGTAATATATTTTGACATTCCTTTCGCAACTGCCATGAGCGAACCTGCCTTATACACGTACATACTCCCTACATTCCATGTTCCAAATCTCAGGTCCATTAGTTTTAACTTAAGTTGTTTATTCAAAGAATTCTTCCAGGTCCGAGACGCTTTGGCATTTTCTAATAATCTTGTTTGTTACTGTGAGGATTAGTAAGCCCCACTTAAAATCACAAAGCTGGAGGACCACCCTTTGCTGGCAGTCCGTGACAGATTTTTCAATAAATTCGCAGTTCGTTTCATATCCGTAGGCTGTCTGCTCCATCTGCAAGCTGAGGATGCGCCATACCGCAGTGAAAATGGATCATCCTTACATGTAGTTTTTGCTCTAGAACAGACTTTTGCACTGAAGGTATGAGGAGAAAAACGTCTAGGTTATCAAGGAAAGAGTTCCTGAAAATTGCTGTTATTATCCTAGTGATAATATGAATTGCGTGTATGAAGTACCAAAATCAACATAGATATTATGATCAGCCACGACTTGATAGACAGCAGGTAACACACAAGTGTGCTTGAATTGCGTACATTCTAGATTGCAGGGTTTGGTACCGATATTAACTGTTGGGTTCAAAACTTGAAGAGAGATTGGCAAGAAGTAAATAAAAGACGAGGAATGTGACACAGAAAAATAGGATTTCATGCAGACGATCTTAAGAAGTTTTGTATCCTCTAGAATATGACATTATTTTCGGTGAAAATCAAGCATTACATGTATACATGATTCGACAGTTTCAGAGAAGTAAGCATGAAAAACGCACACATCCAACGTGAAGCAAGTAGAAACAGATCCTGTAACCGATACCAGATAGGATTCTCCCTTACATCTTAACCACGCTACATGTCACCGCACGACTTACCTCATTGTCTTCGCCACAAATTTTCGGTTTCCTTCTCCAACAGTCCACTTTGGGCTGAAGTTTACTACGATCGGGAGGCGGAATATTCAAAATATGACGACTCCCAACACTCTGGTATCTGTTGAAGCACTGACGTACCACCTTCGGTGACTCGGACATATCAGGCGCCTGTGGATATCTCACTAGGCCTTTTCTCACCTGAGTTCCTGCAACAGACCGAGGCCACTCGTAATTAAACATTTCAACCACCACAATAAGGAAAGGGGGGAGGCACGCGGTAGGGTAGTTGGTTGAGGCACTATGCTACAACTTGGAAGGTCACGGGTTCAAGTCCCAATGAGGTCATTGAATTTTTTTAATTTACCTAATCCTTCCAGCCACACTATGGCCCTGGGGTCGACTCAGTCTCTAACAGAAATGATTACCAGGAATATTCTTGGAATATTCTTGGGAGTAAAGGGCGGCCGGAGCATAGGGCTGCCAACCCTGCCACCATATATGAACCGATTATCTATAAAATGTGGGAACCTCAACATCTGAGAACCCAATGGACCTCCACGACCTGTTACAGGGATAACTTTACTTTTTACCAAAAGGAAGGGAACCTAAGAAACTCATCCCTGCAATTGCGAGATATCTCTTTAAGAATTGCGTTCCTAGTCAAGTATTGCTTGGAGCATTACTTGCTTTACTCGGATACTTATCCACCGCTCATCCTTTCGTGTACAAACGCCCTCACCTTATGCAAGTGAGACGAAGGAAGCATTTCTTTTCACGCCATGTGTAAAAGAGTTAGAAAGGAATGAAAAGAACATAGAGATAAAATTATTTTCCTTCCCTTTTCATTATTTTATATCTACATATTGTGACGTATGGGCCTTTTTTAAAAATAGATGAATGTCATCGTTGCTAAGCAACGACTCCGTAAACTTTCTCGCAGCAACGAATAGAGACAAGAATAAGGAATACACAGTTATAACTCATTGTTAGGCAAGTGTGTTGCAGTACAAGGATAAAAAATGTTTTCTCTGTGGTTCCTGATTCGGCTATATAACCTGAATTAGGCTTAACCCTCGTGTGGAGGCAACGTCGAAAAACTCCACCGTGATCCTGCGAGTCGTAGGTGGCGACAAAAAGGAGTCTCATATCTGAAAGAGTAAAAAATGGTCGCTAGTCCAAAGGGACTCGGACCCGAGGAACACTGCACTGGCAAGGACCAGCAGCTTATAAAGAAGACAGAACCGTCCTCTCATCAGAGAGGGCGTCCCACAAAACAAGGCCGTAACTGTTAAACAGTAATAAATATCTCGTCATGAGCCCCAGATGGGGCTCGACACCAAGACAAACTGATTGACTGATAGTCGATTGCAATGTGACTTCGCCTTTGACTTTTGAACAGAGCTTAAACTTGGCGGTTATCAAGCTTACGACCGTCCAAATGACTAAGCTGCCGTTGTTGCATATCATACCTAAATTAGGCATGATCTGCTCTGTAAAGCTTTTACTAATAGAGGAATTGTATGTAGTGCAAAAGGAAGAATTTTCAATAACATGCTATATGTGCAAAATATACACATGACGAAATGCGAAGCATATTCATGAGAGAAGAGACCCATTTTCTCGTCAGGGAGGATTTTGTGTATAAAGACTATTATCGCAAGAGTTCAGTTGGGAAAAAATATCTGGTCTTGGGCCTCAAGGGACCTGGCGCCAAGAAGAACTGATTGGCGGTAAACCGCCAGTCGTAAAATAAATTTTTAATTTGACTTTGACTTTGACAGAGGAGTACAAGGCGACCCCGACGTAGTAAGCATAGAGACATATACTTGGCAGCGGTCAAACATAAGACAGTTCAAGTTAGTAGACTGCCGTTGTAGCGGAATTTACTAGAAATAGGGTATAATCTGCTGTACTGAGTCTGGTCCCACAGAGGCCCTGTATAAATTTTATATACATTTATTAATATGTTTAATATGTAAAATATAAATATCCTTTACATTACGACAAATGACGTACTACTGCAGACAATGGCTCTGAGAAAAACAGACCAGTCCTCTCGTTAGAGAGTTCGCCCCACAATAAGAAACCAAAACTGTGAAACAGTAATAAATGTCTGGTCTTGAACCTCAGATAGAACTCGACACCAAGACTGAGTGACTGACTGGCCTTAAGTCGCAATGTGACTCTGATGTTGAGATAGGTGCAGTACAGAGTCCACTTGAGATTTCAGTTCTGTGAAGAAAAAGTCAGTGGCAAGAGTGCGGCTGAGGAGAGAAGTCTTTATATGTAATATCTGGAATGTGTAATTTAGTGAGGTTTATATCTCCTGTGTAATATATCCGTTGTCAGGAAATGGACCCTGAGGATAATAGGCATTATTGAGATTTGTTACCTGGCAACGACTAATGTAGGTAAATGTTGTTTATGTGTTACAGTTACAATAATCTTGAGAGCGTTATGATTAATTATAGTTACGACCAGTGAATATCCAATAAATTGTTTCGCCTGTTTCAAGGCGGGACACCTTCCTGCAGGTGGCAGCCAACTTCCTCCGGGATCCACAATCTTCTAGGGTTAGTTCCTGTGGCTCTCCACGTCGCCCTGCAGCTTGCTTCCTGTCCCTACGCCGCTTCTTCCTTCCTTTGACAGATTTCACTACGGCATCTTCGTTGGGCACTTCTTGATGTTCCGCTACCGACTGCATCATTCTTGGATCGGGCTCAATCTTCTCTGTCTCTGTCTCCGTCACTTCGTAGGATGCCGCCATCTCTTTCCGCCATGCATTCCCGTTGGCTTCCAACCTGTTGTATCACATGGATTTCGTTTCTGCTCGGATGGCCTCATTGATTTCGTTTTTCATTTCGTTCATCATTTCTTGGGTGGCCTGTATAAATTTGTATTGGTGTCCATTTTTTGTCGTCTATCTTGGCCATTATCTCTTTCCCGTTGATTTCCATGATTTCTTGCATATGTTCTTGATTGCTTTTCGTGCTGGTGACTGCCTTTTCTTGTATGGATATCAGCATTTCCATTATTTTGCTCCATTTTCGTTTGACAATGCTGTAAATATACACTTCAGTCTTCAGTCCAATAATCGCTTCAGTCGAACGCCGACAAAATTGTGGCGTGTTTAAGTTCGTAACCAATTCTGACACCAGTTGTAGCGTGTTTTGCTATTGAAGACTCCTTCCGGATTGGTAATTTAAATAGAAACAGGAAAATTACTAGCATTCCATCGTGTCTTAACTACGTTAACCTTATGGCATATTTTGCCAAGTATTATTATCAAGATAGACCAGCAAATTTTACTTACAAATAAATCGACATATTTGAAAAATATCGCACTATACGGAAAGATTAAATATTTGCATATAGTCACAGAATTCCATTACTACCTCATTCACAGTTGGACATTAGAGGTCAAATAATTTGCCATACTTCACAAGATAAATTAATGCATTCTAAGTGGAAATATTTTTATTGAAATGCATACACTTTAAAATTCTACGGATACTTATTATATAAGCATTAATTTTCGCACTGAGATGGAAGAGTCAAATATATTACTTAATAATCATACTGCACATAACACCGATGACAATCTGAGTCAGAGCAGTGATGCTAATACAACACGCAAACACTAAACTTTTCTTCGGGCTTTCAATAGGGCGTCATGGCTGTGACATTACTTGTTTCCCGAAAGAATTGCATCACTACAACAAAACGAAAATCTTCTGAATCCATTGGCCGATACTTATCTGACTAGTAGAGCACACACTAATTTTGTGTGTGTGTCTGTACTCGCGAGCAAATGAAACCCTGGGAGACGGAACAATGTGGTAGAATTTCTGGTGGAGAATATTGAGTTGCAGCGATTGGTGTGGTGAATAGAATACTGACTGTTTAGAGAAGGCTCCATGTGAGGAAGTGGAACTATTCTACCAGATCATCCTTATTGGTCTAATTTCCTTACATATGTAAAAGAGAAGGACATTGCAATCTGAGCCGTCACCCTCCTAACAAGCAGAATACTGGAGCCAGAACAGACGGCCCTTTCTACGCAACTGCTAGGTTAATGTACCTAAGCGGTGTTTTCCATGCGGTTCGTGACATTTTTTCTTAACAATAAAATCTACTGTTCTCACATAATTTTTTTTTTGCGATGCAGCATGAGTACTTACCATACTCGTTACACTGGGACATTAGAGTAGGGGAATTTTCTTGCTTAATCGTTGTTGCTGATAAATCATCTGAAACCGAAACCTGTCAAAATGAAAAGTAAATCTGTTATCAAATGCATATATACAGCAAACTCTTCTTTATCTGGCATGTATAGAAATAGTGTTTTCATGAAAAAATGTACAAAAATGATTATAGACTAAAAAGAGGTTTCTGTCTAGTTCTTGCAAAGGAGTCTTCTTAGGAAACACCGTGGATTTTTGGACGAAACATTTCGAAAACACATTCTGCAACTGGCATCTACTCTAATAGCGTACGTATGATGGACGACGATGTATAGTGCTACTAGTTCTGACAGAAGTTAGCAAATTCTCAAGAACATGGAGCTTGTTCATTGTGTTGACATTGTGTACTGATGAAATAATCTATTAATGTCCTTCGATATTTATAACGAAGTCCATTAATTGACTACTCACATGGAAGATGTTAGATCTCTAATCTCTCGACCTAACTGTTACAAGAAATTCGAGGTTAGACTCTCACTATGGCTCCAAAACTCTTCTTTTGTAATGTAAATACTTTTCGGCTCTCAGATGAATTGCCTCAGTAAATTATTCTGTACTGTATTTGAGAGCGGAAGTAGGCAAAATAAATTTAGTTTACAATGTCTGTGTTGCTTTGTGTTGCTGACATGTAATATAGTGTGACATGTTGCGCAAAGGAGAACCCCCCCCCAACAGTGACGCGGCGGGTGAGTCAGCGCTCCCCTCCCCCTCCTCCGCACGGTAACGTAACGGTGACGCAACAGGATTGTTACGGTAGTAACAGCGGTTACTTCCGCTAGCGTTACTAGCAACACAGCGCCAGGCAACAAGGGTGCCTATTACGTGGCCGTATTGTCCGATCGAGGCTACATAAGGAGCAGCGAAGGCTATTCACAGTCAGTTGTACTGTGACAGTCGCCAGTGCGTTATCAACGACTTCTCAGTTCGCAAGTTACGAGCTACAGCCGCGTGTGCGATAACCAGTGATAACCAGTCATATCTGGAGTGTGTAATTCAGGGAGACTTGTATAGCTCCCGCATTATTAGTACGTGAAGACTCTCGAAGAGAGTGTTAAGAGATTTTGTTCTAGGGTTTGTAAAGTGTGGAAACCCGTAATATTGTGATAAGTAATTGTAGCCGTTTCTTGTAGATTGTTGAATAAACCAATTAACGATCTGTACGGCGTCTTCTGTAACGAAACACGTTACAATATACACTGCATTACACGTCCCACTTAACATTGGAACCGACTGTACGGTTGGCTTTTGTTTTACAAATAGTTATTAATTTTTTGACAGGGGAATATTGTTTTCTAAGTCACTTCTATATACTTGTATTTACCACTCTATCCGATGTTTAATGGATGTCGTGGCAAATTATTCGCCATAAATTCTGTTATGTTTGATCTAGATTCAGGGCCAGCATTTTAACAGCAAAAATTGAATCATATCACAGAACACGTTTCGATTTTATACACAAATTGTCTGAATTCGTACCAGAAATTATGTCACTAAAATCATCGTTGAACATGATGAGTAATGATAAACTATTTATCTTAGAGTAAGGTTATATATGTAGATTTAGGACAGAAATTCCTAAAATCGACTCCTTGGGAACTCTACACTTTATTGTTCCCCAGTTTGAGTAGATACTTTAGGTTGAATTAGGAGATATTTCGATCTTTTGTTTTCTGTCATTTAGATATGAGCTGAAACATTGTGTTGTTCTAAGATGAATTCCAAGAAAATGTAATTCAATTAGAAATATTTTATGTTGTGCACAGTCGAAACTGTTGTTATATCAAAAAACAATCCACTAAGACGCATTTATAATTAATAAATTTTAATTTTATCTCTGTTAGATAAAAGACTTCGATTTCAAGTGCTTTCTCATTTCCAGAAGCCAAACTCTTTTCGTACTAATGTAATATCCTGCAAATAATTGCTTAACCTATTGTAAACAATTTCCCAAATATAACGTACTTCTGTTGTCGCCGGTTTTGTACATTGGTCTTAATTCTGAAATCTTGAGGCATTTTAGGGAAGATCTCTGTGATTACAGAATGACTGTAAACGTGACTAATCTGAGATGAAATAACATTCAAAACTTTACCTGTTATTCTATCATAACGCCATGAGGTTTTTCTTTTGAGGGAAGGTATTATGATTCTCCCATTAGGACCAGTGGTCGGAATGCTCCTTGTAGCAAGGAATATTATACGAAACGCATCAGTTCTCTTCTTGATGGAAGTTTGGATTTTCACTTGTCAGGGAAAGATGATTGAAGATATTTGTAATTGTTCTCGGAGCCCCTGTTTTTCACTCTATAGGGGAAGAGTTCGATTTAACTTTCCTGCCTCGTGGTTCATTATATCCCATCTTGCTTCTATCTTAATATCATATTTTCTTTTAAATCTATAGCATCTTTTGCACCTACATTCAGGATTGTGCAGCATTTCATGTAATATGCTGTCATTGGTGGTTGTTGCTGTTCATGATATATATATATATGCATGTGTGTTCGTAGACTCCTTTTATGTTGGCAAGACACTTCTGTCACTTTTAAAATGCAGTCGTTCTTAAATTTACTTGTACCTTTTTTTCTGAATCGGAGAACTAACTCTAAGGTCATTAAAAATATTGTGACATGTTGCGCAAAGCCGAGGCCCCCCCCACACCAGCAGTGACGCGGCGGGTGAGTCAGCGTTCCCCTCCCACCCCTCAGCGGTAACGTAACGCTCGCGTAATAGGCGAGTAATCACCCCGCATCCTGGCAGCTATGCGCGGTGACGTCACGAGCGGAGCCGAAGATAGCCGAGCCCCGTAACCGGGTAACTATGCAAGGCGAATCAACAGCGGTGACGTAACAGGATGACGTGGCACTCATTACGCAACAAGCAAGCACTGCAGCTATATAAGTGAGCTGCACAGTGGCCGCGAGGCAGTTCTAATGTGGCTACCAGAGAGTTCTACTGTAGCAGCCGCCTAACACAGTTGTACTGTGACATCCGCCGAGTTGTAAAGTAACCGTCAGCCGACTACAAGTTGTAGTATAGCAGCCGTCGCGGAAAGAAGAACCGGACGTGTGTGTGATTGTGTAATTGGGAGCGTGTGATACAGCGATACCTAGCTCCCCTACTGTCAACGTGTATACTACTGAAGACAGAGTGAACTGATTTGCGCATAGGGTTATAAGTCGTGAAACCCCGCAACAGTGTTAACAGATTAATGCGATTAGGGTTATAAAGTGTGAAACCCCGCAACTGTGTGATAATTAATTGTAGCCGTTAGTTGTAGATTGTTAAATAAACCAATTAACCATCTCTACGGCGTCTTCGGTAACGAAACACGTTACAATATGTTTATTAGAGTAGGAGTAGTTGAATATATGATTGGTGCCCTTACTTTTTATAAAATTTGCCAGATATCATTTTCTACATAATAGGGATCAAAGTTACGCAATGTTTTTCATTGCTGGTATTTCATCCTTCCTGTTTCAAGTGCATTAAATTAGATTTTGTAGCGATATTATTTATTGGACATAACAGGACATCATGATCCATTAAATCGTTATAAAATTTACACTAATATTTACAGTGGTAGTCACATTGACGGATCCCTACTTCGTGGGACATTAACAAGCATTCCTGAAGAAAGCAGTCTTCTGGGATTTGGCACCGTGTATATGTGGTGTTAACCGGCGTTTCGGAAGAACGTATCGCCCCCCCAGCAGTCTGCTTTACCGTTTCTCACGGTGTTGTCGCTTGCAGATTTCTTATACGTTTTCTTCTACCCTGAAGATGGGGGCGATACATTCCTCCGAAACGTCGGTTAACACCACATATACACGGTGCCAAATCCCAGAAGACTGCTTTCTTCATAGTCACCGCCGTGAAAGCCTCAAATCTTACAAGCATTACTGATGTTTGCTGATTGACTTATTTTCAAATAGGGTCAATTTACATATAAAGATATGTATATTTTGGTTGTGGAAGGAACATTGCAACTCATATATTTCGCTTTAAACCACGTGTAAAATTTATTTACTAAAGCAACAATATCCACTACAAAACCTTCAGAATATCACGGATGAATAAACAGAGGGTTTGGGTTGGATATTTATCTTACTAACTGCTTGTTACATATAACTACAACAGTCACATCTTGACGGACTATATAGAAATCCCTACCGTCAGCATCTCTACTATTGTTGTATGACGAATAAGCGGCCTGCGGCCTAACAATGATCGGCGTGTTTGTGGATGAGGGTGCGTGTTTACCTGTCATTGACTACCAACGGCCACTTCCACTGGCTTCTCTATTCCGACTGTCGGCCAATATATCAAGTACATATCATAATTTAATGTATGATAATTGACATATTTATATATATTAATTTACAGAAATAATTACATATTAATACATAGGTATATATCTGTACACGTGTATGTATCGTTCTACATAGTTTCAAACATCCGTGGGTATAGAGTTTAAAAATGTATAACTCTTTATACATAAAGAAAGAAAGGATATGCATGTGCACACAGCAGGGTGCTTCTACATTTCGGTTCTATATCCACCGTGATGCATGCCTATCGATAGATATACAGGGTGATTCACGAAGTTTTACCCCGGCTTATGGTACATATTCCTGGCATTATTTCCTGCAAAATTTCCTTATAAACTTTTGGTCGATTTCGAATATTTACGGAGTAACAATAGATCTTCGAAACGCATCAATGTGAGTGCAGCGCTCTGCTCCCCTCCTGGGCGACCTTGCTTTCCAGTCAGCTGTGTCAGCAGATAATCTGACCGGCTGGAATGTTGCGCGATCCTAGGCAGAGCGATCCAGTAGTGAACAGGACGTTGTGTTGATGACTTTGTGAAGTTAAGATGCCGTACACATTTTCCACTGAGGAATACGCCGATATGGTGTTTGTTTTGGGTGTATGTCATGAAAATACGAGAGCCTCTGCTGTCGA